ACGTTATATAAATCATTTGTATTTTCTAGTGCTTTGTTCTCTGTAAGCTCTCATATTTGATTTTTTATTTTTTTGTAGAAGACGGTTACAAAAAACTTTTTTTTTTTCCCTGTTAGGGGAATTCAAAACATATAAAATATAAACGCATAACAGGTTTCTGAAAGCTCTATAAAAACTTGTTGTTGTTATTGCCGCTTTATAAATGAGTGTGAGTGTCAAATGGAAATCCAAAACTGCATTCAGGGTTAAATTACTGCTCACACACACCCTGAACAAACTTCTCAATAAGTGTGTGTCTGTAGAAAGGGAGCTCAACTGGCATCAAATATTATGCTCATTTGAAAATGCAAATGTTATTTTGGGACTGGATAGGATAGGACTGTATATTTTTTTTTAAAGAAGGCAGTTAGTAAGTGAAAAAGAAATGCGTGTGGATGGTTTTTATATTCATCACTAACCCGTTATGTGGCACAGCAAAACATGCTTTGTATTGTAGGTCTTTCTAAAGAATGTGGCCATTCTAAAAAAAATGTAGTCATTTTATAGCCTTAGATCTTTTCAAACATCTATTCTTATTCTTCTTTCTCACTACTAATGCAGTGTTATACATATAGATGTGTATTACGGTATATGTGGCCATTCTAAAATTGACTGATTAGACCTCCACATTTAGTCATTGTGCTATCACAGATGTTATACTAATTAATGTCTGTATGGTCACAGGAAGCCCTGGTAATGCCTTCCCTCAGCATCCCCAGGCTTTTTGCTTTGTGGGAAAGTAATGGTGTTTCACTTATTAAAGTCACTTTTCAATATTTTAGTTTGGGGGGGGGGCAGATATGGAAATTCGAACCACAAATGACCAACTCAGGTTGTAGAAAAGCCATTTGGTTTCAGAAGCTGTGGCAAAGTCAGAAGAGACGAGATGTTTTGTGGCTGCATGAAATAAACTCCAGTGTGGTCTTGAATAAAGTCCAAGCGGTGGTGCTGATATACACACCAAATCGACATGCCGCGGGCCAGTTGCCAACTGCTAGAAGGGGGTTAGGCTGCCATGCTCAGTCACTGAATTTAGTTTGGGTTTTTGCATTTGGCCCTATTCAGAATTGCCTGGCAGACTAGCACATTTCACTTCATTTTCCTTTTTCAACTTGAAACCACAACCCAGTTTTTTCTACAGCACAAATGTTTGCTCTAGTGTTCATTCTGATTTCAGTGCTTCGTCTATCAATGTTAACCGTGCTTGCCCTCCCGTGAAGGCTCTTAAATTTGTGCCTTCCAGTAAAAAGTAATAAACGACTTAATTTTTTTCCCCATAAGTTGAACTTAGTAGAAATTGTACCATAATTCACCGCTATCTCGCAGTCTCTTCTCAGGGAGGCTGCTACAGGCTCTGAACCCTGGGTGCTGAAGGTCAACAGCATGTTGCTGACAGCAGAAAATGATAGAATTATCTTGTTTGAGCTGCTCTCACCTGCATTTGGAAAACGATAAATAAATAGAATAAAGTGTAACCCTTCCCTCACCCCCACCAGTCGAGACAGATGGTTCAATTCTCTGTTTAATTCTGCCAGAGGTTTCTGACAGTTAATTACTTTTTCATCCACAGCTTTGCCAAATACTCACTCAAAGGGCTTTAAAGTCTTGATCTTACCATATAAAGTCATAACTTATGTTATAGCCTGCAGCTCTTTTCAAAGGTATAGATCCATTTCATTACATTTAAATGGTATAGTCATTCTGTGGTTATCTGAAGTGTGTGTCTGCTCCGACACACACCGCCGTCAGAGAAATCTGACGGCAGCTGAATCAGAAACTGAGCCTTAGTGCATGCTCTGAAGCCATTGTGGGTATAATTAAATATACATCATGCTTTTTAAGCCACTGTTGCAGAATAAAGCGTCCACAAGATTCGACTTGCTTCAGCCCCCGTGGGAACCTACATGACACACGCATTATTTGTGTATTCCAGAGCCCTCTGTTTGTGAATAAATGAGCATTTGAAGCGCAGATAAATCAAACGGACCTCTAACTCTGTCTCTAATCTCACAGGGAACTTATCAGGGAAAGGAACTGGCTGCAACAACCACCAGCTAAAGTTCCCGGCACTCTGGTCCATTCTGTCCTGAGTGCATACATTTATTTTACATTTGCTGCCCAACTACAGAAACTCTGTGGCCAAGAACTCTTCACCAACAAAACTCAATAATTACTGTATTACTGTATGCTTTTACAAAGGGAGGAGTCAAAAATCTATGGCGCTGACATAAGACACGGGACACTCAACACATTACAGCCGCCCGTCTCTTTTGTGTGAGTGTGTGCACAGCCAACCTATGGATGCCTTTGTCTTTGATTATTGTGTTCTATTACTGTAGAGCTGCCAAAGTGACGAAAGCCTTTTTAAATCACCAGATGCCCCTAAAAGACTCTCCTCCAATAGAATAAACAAATTAGATTGAATTTTCATCACCAGCGCAATGAAGTTGGATGTTTTTATTCCTGTTGTAAGTCACGACTTCTAAATAATGCCTCTCAGAGCAACTGTTACGCCAGCAAAAATGAAAACATAATAAACTACTGGAAGGTAGCACTGTTACATGAAGGCTCATATTTATGGGGAACAGTGTTATTGCACCTATGCAAAGGCCACAGTGTGCAACGAAAATAGAGCTCAATTTACACTTAGAATCCAAACGGCTTATTGTTATGTGTCTAAGACTGAACTCTCTGAGTTGTGAAACTATTTGCTGTTGGTTTGTTAAAATCACCGACCAGCCACCACTAAACTAAATTATTGTCAGCTGTGTGAAAAGTGGTTCCCTCATGTCAGCTTCTGCCTGGAAGTCCCCAGTGATAAGCTATAAAGCCTCCACCTAAACAATTGCCCCACTTTCAGAAAGACTGTCAATGTGAACAGAGTCGAGGAAACAACTTTTATTGGGAAGTTGTTTGACCTTTGCGGGCGGGCCTCAGACATAAAGCGATGTGATGTGATGGACGGCATTTAGAAAAGATGAGAGCGAAATCAAACGAAATCCATATATTGGGTGGACATGGTTTGTTGTTTTTAACAAAAGGCTCAAAAAACAGCAGATGGTTGCTGATCGCTTTTTTTTTTTCCTAAACAAAATTCCCTATTGTTATAGAAATAAACAAGTAAAACCCCTCAAGCTGCTCTCCTAATACAGCTTGATATATGTATTTATTTAGCAGTCAAAAGTAAAAAATCCACACGTTCATGCTTCCATACATAATCCCTCATCTCACCACCACGACATTTTTTAACAGGAACCTGAGTTTCTATGTTTGTGTGCGTGTGTGTGTGTGTGTGTCTCGCAGAACCATAAATACTTGGATATAAGGACTACAAGTGCTTACACACACACTTTTGCTTGCTTATATTTAAACACCCACTGCACCAAGGTTCCAGGATAGGAACTCCCCCCACCAAAAAAAGTCTCTGACAAGAAACCCACCATCACTCAATTTTGGGGTTCCTAAAAATCGATTGATAAGAACGACTTCTCTACAACTCTGCACGGCTCAGTCTTTTTAAACCGGCTATGCAGACTTAACATTCTGTGAGATCTAGAGCAACCTGTGAACGACAAAAGATGAAGCTCTCCTTTTTGTGATTGCTACTAATGGCCCATGCTGATGTGTTTTGGATCTAAGCTGAATCGTTTTTCCGTGGGGGCAGCCAGTATGTGATTCCGCGTTACTTTGTTCTTTAATCTGCAGAGCTTTTGGTGGTAGGTATTCCTCCGTCAGCCCTGTGGGTAATGATTTGTCACAGCTAGATGAGCATTGTAAACAGATGAGCTCTTTAAGTTGTTTTTCAGGACAACTATGGACAAGTTCAGTGTTGGTAAATCATAAATTGCTTTTTTAAACAAGAAATGTCACTAAAAAACACTGCCTCTTTCTCACATCAGTGTGCCTGCGCTCAGATCCATCACGACTAAGGACATCATTAAAGTTTACATCCTGTGCTCAAAGCCCTGAAGTATGCCAGCTTGGCAGGACATAACTTTGCTCTTAGAGGCACCTCACAGTGAAAGCTCCACAAACTAATCAAATCACACCACCATAACTCTGCATAATCATGAGTCTAAAGCAAACTCTGGCTGGAGAGTACAGTGGACATTTGATCTGGTCTGCAGTCAAAGCTTGCGCTTGAGGCTTGGTGAATCTCATAAACTGGCTTTTCTAAAAGGAAAGCCTAAAAGATTTTTTTCCCCTTCTGGTTTAACGGTACTCCCGGTTCAGTTGTACTGTGTGATATACTGAGTGTGGATGGTTAAAACATTCTTTTCATTATTGATACAGGGCGGTGGAAGTCTATTTAACTCCACTTGCCGAGAAGATGCATGTCATTCTGGCTATATGTTTAACTTTAGCTTTTGAATAGGACAGCTATTCAGTTTGGTTCCGTTTGCGGCATTAAACTTGTTCAAAATAAGATTTTTTTCTCTAGAACCTCCTCCAGTGCTGTTACATTAGGGGGGTGAAACTATATCCTATTGTATGATAAATATCGTGGCTGTTCAAGTGGCCCTAATAAAAAGAAAAAAGTGATGATTAGCCATCATAGCATTGACTTTGGTAGGTAGAGTCATGGACATTTTACCACACTGCATGACTATTTACTGCAACATGTTTTAACACAGAGAGGCTCACAAGTAAATACTTTCAACGGTTTGGAATAGTTCAGAAAGAGAAAATATATATAAAAAGCTTCTGTCAGAATAGTTCAGAGAGAAAATATGAAAATAAAACTTGTGTCATTCTGGTGAAATGCATTTTCGTTTGTCATTGTGTGCAATCTGTAATCTCCTGCAATCGTTGCTATCCTGATACGACAGCATGGTGAGCACCATAAAATCCAAAATCAGCTCAACACCGTCATTGTAGGCAAAGCACGATTGCAGAAAGCAGTCGCATTGAGTTTCGCAGCCAGCTGAAACCTTCCCGTCTCTTTTTCTCTGTTTTCCTAGGTGACAACTCTGGTGAACACCAGCAACAAAGGGCCGTCCAGTAAGAAGAAAGGGCGGTCAAAGAAGGCCCATGTCCTGGCAGTGTCTGTTGAGCAGGCCACCCAGAACTTTCTTGAAAAGGGGGACCAAATCGCTAAAGACAGCCAGGATCTGAAGGAGGAACTCATTGCTGCTGTGGGGGATGTTCGAAATCAAGGTAACCTTACACACTCTTATTCAGACACCGAACTTGTACTGTTGTACCTGGCGCCGCTCTGATAGCTGCGCTGCAAGTGTACGCCATCTGACACAAGTGATGTACAGCTACACGTCCTCTTCCATCAGCTGAATCACTCAAGTGTTGTTACCAGACTCTTCTGTTTCATTCTATAGCTCATTTCTACATAGTCATTTGAAAACTGCCTTTTGAAATCGAAGTAGCTTCTTTAGATGTGTCCAATTTGTAGGTTCATACATATTTATATGCCTGATCAATTATTATATGTTAGACGAGAAATTCTAGACAACACTTTGAAAATTATTCTTGCAAAAATGGAATAGATGGGGAAGCTGTTCACCTCAAAGCCCTGCATCCTTCAAGCTAAACCTTAAGATATTAGAGATACCGTTCTCACCCGTAACTGTGTGGGACTTGGTTTATTTACTCTGAGGCTCGCTAGCAGGTGCAGTTCAGTTCAGACATACTGACGATTGTGCTGGTCTTGCTCGAAGTTCTTACTCACACGTTGAAATGTTTTTAGTTCTTATGACTTTTTTTTTTTTGTGTGTACTGAGAGCGAATCGGTGAGCCTCTCCTGTAGGTGAATAAAAGCTTTTCCCCCAAAATGGTGATGTGTGTCTAGTCCAGTCCTGGAGTCCAGCTTCTGTTGTGTTGTGGCTTTATCCCTCATCCCGCTACATCAGCGCAGGTCAGACGCTGGCGCTGCCGACCAGCTGACTTGAATGCTCCGGCGGTAGACCGTTACCACACAGGTCATCACCAGAGCTGACATCGAAATGCTTTTGATCAATGCATCCTAACATTAGGCATGCCGTCCATAACCTGAGGGAGGCTGCACAGATACCTTTAGAAACCGAGCATGTGTCTCATTAATGCAAGTAGCTCATTCTAGCTTGAGAACATGACATGAGAAGCAATACCTCTTGAGCTGATAAGCATTTACTGTTCATTATGACAGGATGACAGCCTTTCAGCAATCCCAAACACCATTAATAACAGGTCAATAGTTTATTCCTCTTGACTTTAGTAAGCAGACTTGAACTGAATTTCTCATTTTCAGAGATCTGTAGCAGCAGCTGGAATCATCCTCCTTTAGAGAGCATCATGCTCCTGCTTACAAATATTGTTAGATGTGAAAAGCTTTTAAATGTCTCATCATGTGTGACCTCTTCACACCAAAATGCTGCTTCAGTATGTCATGATTGGAGTTTAAAGCTGATTTCAGGGCACAGATGAGTTGTGCGATCAAACCCTTTTGTGTTGTCACTCCTTTAATGCTCAGAGAAACCATGGATAGGGAGCCGGGACGGCCTGTAATCGTGTTCATTCATGTGCCTTTGTGCACAGTTTTCATGATTTGAATGCCTTTTTTCAGATGTGTAAGGAATAGGTCTTATGTAACATTGGTCATAGATGGTCATAGTAGCAGTCAGGACGTCATCACATCAGAGGCTGTTTACTCTTGTCCTGGTGGGCTCTCCCTGTCAGAAACCAACAGCATTCAGTCACCGCTTCCCTGTGAACAATCTCTGTGGGTTATGATAGAGGAAAGGTTGACAGGATTCAACTTCCAAGTCAATGTAACACTTTATAAAACTGATTCAACTTCTACCAGTGCTGTTGGTACATTAATGAGCCAGCTCCACCTGATCTATTATTCTGAAAGTGACTCTTTGAAACAGCACCTCATGGGAGCGGGTCCTGGTTAATCAGATGACCAAAGCTGTAAGTCATCTCTGTATGCCACAGCTCTGCCAACACCTCCGTCTAGAAGGCCAGTGCCAGATGGCACAACTTCTTAAGGGAAATGACAGAGTTTAGCGTGCGTGGTCTGCAGGCTTGGCTTCCACAACAGGAGAGTGGATTTGGGGCTGTATGGTGATTGAACTTTCTTGGCTGTCCCTGCGTCTGAGTGCTCAGAGCGACCCACATATTAACAGCACAGATACTGATGTTCTCCAGCACATCAACAATGAAATGCTGAAGCCACGACACCTATTGTGACATTTATTTTCCATGGAGCCCGTTACATCATTAGGTGAGACCAACATTCCGGAGCCACTGAGTTTCTGCTGAGTTTGTCCCCTCCGCTGAACTGTGTAGCCCTTTTCTACTCATTACCCACTACTGTGAATTTGTACAGACTTGTACACAGTGCCCCTATAAACACAGTTAGGAGTCTCATTTGCCATTCTCAACATGTTTTAAAGAAAACAGCAATTTCCACAGCCTATTTTCAGCGTCACACACTGCCTGCTGGTTTGAGTGTAAAGTATCTCGAAGCCTTATTGAGTATATTGATTGTGATGGCCCATTGTTACTTCCAGGCTCTAACCTAATAACAGGAAGGCAGAAACGTGCAGGTGAATGCATCGTTCACAAACACACCAGAAGAAATGAACTTACTTCCTGCCCCCCCCCCCCCCCCC